TCTCTCTCTCTCTCTCTCTCTCTCTCTCTCTCTCTCTCTCTCTCTCTCTCTCTCTCTCTCTCTCTTGATCCCCACTCTCCGTCTTTTGTTCCTCACCTTCCCTCTTTTATTCCTCACTCTCACTCCCTCTGTGGCAACTGTCTTTCTTTCGATCCTCCTTTCCCTTGCTTCAACCCTCACTCTCCCATCTTCACCCCACACCCACCCTCCTTTGTCTCAGTGTGCAGTTTACAGTATACTCCATTTGATGGATATCTCAACAAGTCAACCCGTAGTTGTGGGTGGTTGGCGGGTGCTCTGGTGTGGTTTGCTCTTTCTTTCCTATCAAACATCTATCATCCTTATCTCCCCTTCTTCTTTTTTATCTTTGTTACTCTCTTATAACACCTCTAATCTCCTGGCGCTCGTATAACCTTATGCAGTGGCTAGCGCTGTAAAACTTCTGCTAACACTAGAGACACACAAACAGACAGACAGTCATCGGTGTCATCCACCAGACGCAACATCGACTACTTTGAGGTGTGTCTTCCTTCTGTTCTTTGTCTTTGCTGATTCTGTCTGTCTTTCTTAGTGACTGTATTGTGCTTCTATTAACTCAGACAAACAAACAAACAAACAAACAGACACTTATCAATATGTAGCTTGCTTTGCCATCAGACGCAACATCAACTACATGTACTTTGAGGTAGGCCCTCCTTCTATTCCTCCCCTCCGCTGATTCTGTCTGTCTTTCTCACTTCCCCCCTCAGTACTAAGTGACTGTATTGTGCTTCTATTTACTCAGACAAACAAACAATGCTCAAACAGATAAACAAACAGACACTGATCACTATATGTTGCTTGTTTCACCTCCAGACGCAACATCGACTACTTTGAGAAGTGCCAGCAGAACGCTCTGAACGCCGTGGACCCTGACCAGGGCAATGGAGAGCTGATCATCACGCTGCCCGAGGATGTGTTGCCCACAGTCGCTGGTCAGTGGATAGAATAGACAGAAGATTTCTACGTTGGTCAGTGGAGAGGGAAATGTTAGAATAGACAATAGATTCTTACGTTGGTCAGTGGAGAAGGAAATGTTACAATACACAATAGATTCCCTCACTGGTCAGTGGACAGGGAAATGTTACAATAGACAATAGATTCCTACACTGGTCAGTGGAGAGGGAAATGTTTGAATAGACAATAGATTCCCTCTCTGGTCAGTGGACAGGGAAATGTTTGAATAGACAATAGATTCCCTCTCTGGTCAGTGGAGAGGGAAATATGTGTCACAACACGTTGGGATCAGGCGCTTGTCAATTTTTGGGCATATGGAGTAATTCGTATCATCTGAGAGCTGATGTATTTGCCTTGCATCCAATGAAATAAATATCCATCTATCTTGAATAGAACTCAAGATATCTGCGTTGAAAGGAAGTGAGATCGCCTGGTTTCAGTGGTGAAATTGGCGACAGAATGGGCGCCAAAGTTTGGTAACTCCATAGCAGCTAGCTAAAGAAAAAAATAAAAGGTTACCGCCCTGGTCAGTAGAAAATAAGATTTAAAAAATAGACAGAAGATTCCCGCTGAATTGATTTATGGAAAAGAAGAAAATAGTGTGTGGTTGGCAGGTACTCTGGTGTGGTTTGCTACTTCTTTCCTTTAAAGAATCTAACGTCCTAATGTCTCCTCCTTCTTTTCTTTGTATGTTACCCTCCAGTAATACCTCTAATCATCAGCAATTTTATGACTCATTTGTGTTGCAAATGCTATGAAACTCTAAAACTTTTTTTTAGAACGGGTTTCTTAAGGGGTTTTTATAGCATAGATTACTGCTATTCTCCGCTTTAAACGAAATATTAATTTTTAAAAACAAACAACAATGCCCAGCAAACCTTTCACCACCAGCGTAGTCTGTTTTGACAGTGATTTGAAATAAAGTTTTTGTGTGTGTTGATCAGATGGTTGATCGTAGCGGGCAGTGACTGAGGTTTTCATTCAAGAATTCAAACTGACGTGTAGACCACTTCTTCATATCACGCTCTCTTAGAATTACAAAGTTCTATCTGACGTTTTTGGCCGTTTTGAGTTACTTAGACCTTGAGGCCAGCAACGAAATGTTCTCTCTGTTTTATCAAAACCGTAAGATTATTCGAAGTCGTTATCAAGATATTCAAAGAATTGCATTTGAAAAAGCTTGAAGTTTTGTAAAACTCTAAATTGTTAACGTCAAATTTCTCAAAACTGGAAACTGAGCGGATAAAGCTTTGTAGTTCTATGGTAGCCACTAGTCGCCTGTACATGTTCTTATATTGTGTTCCTCAAGCATGGGCCACAGGTATGACAGGAGGGATGATGTACGGCCACATGAAGAAACCACTGGTCAAAGATACAATGAATCAGTTAAGGAGGGTAGATCATTTTTTAAAAAGCTGATTTTTCTTTCAAGTGCTAAAATGGATGCAGCGGGTTTTGCATCTCAACCCCTCGTATATATCTATCTGTCTATCTGTATAATTGTGAGTGGGTCTGTAAAGGTTAAGCAAGACGTATGCCACAGTTCCTAACTCTCTCCTTGTTGGTGGTTGGCGGGTGCTCTGGTGTGGTTTGCTCCTTCTTTCCTATCAAACATCTATAGTCCTTATCTCTCCTACTTTTTTGTGTTTGTTACTCTCTTTTAACACCTCTAATCTTCGGCACTTATACAACATTATTGTGTTGCAAGTGCCGTAAAACACCCACTAAAACTAAACTGACTCTCCCCTGGCGTGTCCTGTGTCCAGCCCTGGGCAGCTTCCAGGTGTGTGTGGAGTTTGCCCTGGAGGAGCCCAGGTGTGGCCTTCACTTTGTGGTGCCGGATACGCCAGGCACGATGGCCGAACGCAGCGCTCACATGTTCACCTACGCCACCGAGAACTTCTCCAGGTACAGATGGCTTTGGAAACGTGTTCATTCATTCATTATTTCATTTGTTTATTCATTCATTCATTCATTCATTCATTCATTCATTCATTCATTGGTTTATTTATTTATTTGTCTATTTATTCATTTTTATTATTTTTTAAAAATTTATTCTTAGAAATTTTATTCTAAAAAATGTATTATTCTTTTTTATGAAAGATGTATGCTTCCATGGTAACAGCTCAGATCGACTGCCTGCATTTTTCGGGGGGTTTCAGTTAGTGTTTTATGTTGCACGCAACAGCATTAGTTCATATGTTGAAGGGACATATTAAACCGACTGCATGTATAAGACTCTGCTGTACGTTGTTTTGAAAAGTGACATTCGACGGAATCTTCCACTGAGTAGTTTCACCCCCCCTGCGGTGCCACTGACTGAAGTGTCTTTAAGCCATTCCCAAAGGGGGGACATTAACATGTTCTTCTGCAAAGTGGAATTGTAATTATAAAGGGGCTGATTCATCAATGTCATGCTCATAACTGTACCTGAACTGCAACAGGGAACTGCTGCTTTTTCTTTCCTAATCTTAACTGTTGTCATTTTCCTCTCTATCTTTTTTTATGTTTGTCACTCTTGTGACCCGCTATTTTCGGGGTGCCTTGATAGTCGAAGCAGACTTTGTGCTGTTGAAGCTAGAGAGGTGAGCAGAGTAGGTCTGATTCTCGGTAGGGATTTCTCTTTTGACATCCCCCCTTGGCGCTCATATGACCTAATACAGTTGCGAGCGCTGTGAAACCTCTACTAAAATGAACACTGAACAGCTCAGATCATCTTGGGAGCTAGGTAGGCTGCCATGAGAAGTTTGTATTGTCCCTTGAATCTAGATTTGACTTTGACTCTCGCTGTTCTTCTGTTTCTCCTTGATTCCTTCGACCTGAAAGAGCAATGTTTGATCTGATCTCATGTTATATCTGATCTTATCGGGTCTTATCTCATGTTATATCTTGTCTTATCTCATGTTATATCTGATATTGTCTAGTCTCATCTCATGTTAAATCTGATGTTATCTGGTCTTATCTCACATTAAATCAGATCTAATCTGGTCTTATTTCATGTTATATCTGATCTTATCTGGTCTTATGTAGTCTTATCTCACATTAAATCTGATCTTTTCTGATCTAATCTAGTCTTATCTCATTTTATATCTGTTCGTATCTGGTCTTATTTCATGTTATATCTGATCTCATTTGATCTGACCTGGTCTTATTTCATGTTATATCTGATCTCATTTGATCTGATCTGGTCTTATTTCATGTTATATCTGATCTCATTTGATCTGATCTGGTCTTATTTCATGTTATATCTGATCTCATTTGATCTGATCTGGTCTTATTTCATGTTATATTTGATCTGATCTGGTCTTATTTCATGTTATATCTGATCTCATTTGATCTGATCTGGTCTTATCTCACGTTGTGCCGCGCCAGGCTGTGGTTCCCCTGCATCGACACGTTCAGCGAGCCGTGCACGTGGAAGATCGAAGTCACGGTGGACCGCGACATGACGGCCGTGGCGTGCGGTGACCTGGTCAGCGTGGAGTACACTGAGGATATGGCGGAGAAGACCTACCACTACTTCCTGTCCAGCCCCACTGCCGCACCCAATATCGCCCTGGCTGTTGGGTGAGGAAAATGTTGTTTTTATGTTCTGTATTAGCTCTATCCGTACGTTGTGTTTTACTATCATATCCATACGACGTGGGAAATCTGTGCCCCCACTTTCCAAAGAGGAAATTGTTAATCCGATCTGTACGCTTTGCATAGCGGTCTGTCAAAAAGATTTTTATTTAGAAATATTGAAAGTTTCGAAGAGATCTTTGCACTAGACTCTAGAAGTATTCTAAAATGTGAAGAATACAGTCCCGAGGGTACAAAATGACATCAGGACGTACGGATAGGGTTAACGTCCTTTTTGTGTTTGTGACTGTTTTAAAAAAATCCCGACTCTTGTGACTGGCGTCTGTGCTGTAGCTGCTAGGTGCTTCGCCGTCCCACGCAGAATGCCGTAGGTACGTGAGTTCGATTCCGGTGTGGGACAATTTATTTTTTTTTAATCGAGTGTCTGCCTGCTGGAACATTGTACCCCTCATATCACGGATTGGCTCTGACATGCAGGGTCAGATCAGTCTACCTCCTAAATTACCTAAATAGTGTCCACAGGAGTGTAAAACTATTTCTATTAACTCTTTTATCTCGAGCAAGCCGCTCCCTGTTTTGTTTCTGGCTGTCTGTCTTACTTTTTCCCAGCACTAAACGACCTTTATTGTGTCGATGTGTTTCTCTTTACTTACACAAAACACACAAACAAATGTCCTTCTGTTTGTTGTTATGTCTGTTCTCCCACTCTTTTCTTTCCAGGCCGGTGGGTGGTTGGCGGGTGCTCTGGTGTGGTTTGTTTCTTCTTTCCTGCCAAACATCTATCGTCCTTATCTCCCCTCCTTCTTTTTTATGTTTGTTACTCTCTTGTAACACCTCTAATCTTCTGGCGCTCATATGACCTTATTGTGTTGCAAGTGCTGTAAAACCTCTGCTAAAAATAAAACTAACTCTAATCTTCTGGCGTTCATATGACCTTATGCAGTTGCGAGTGCTGTAAAACCTCTCCCTACTCCCCGGGGTGGTGCCACTGACTGAAGTGTCTTTAGATCATTCCCAACGGGGGGACATTTCTCGTTCTAGCACAGTAGTCTGATTCCCTGTAAATACTTCTCTGTTGTCACCCACCCCTTGGCGCTCATATGACTTTATGCAGTTGCGAGCGCCGTAAAACCTCTACTAAAACTAAATCTCTTTTCTCCCCAGGCCGTTTGAGATCCTGGTTGACCCCAAGATGCACGAGGTGACCCACTTCTGTCTGCCACGGCTCATGCCCGTCCTCCGCCACACCACCAGCTACATTCACCAGGTGGGGGCTGGGGGGGGGGGGGGGGGGGACTTTGTTTTTGTGGTAGTCTTACCATATATGTTGCATTATGGTGAAAGAAACAGCAGATCAAAATAATGAAATCGAAGAAATCACCGTGCAGTTTGTATTGAAGTGGGGGGGGGGGGGGGGGTTTTTTGCTCTACATCTTTTATGTCCGCGTCTGAATACGTTTCTGGCGTGGGTTTTTACTGAAAAACATTGAACAAGGGCACAAAAATGTAAATATACTATTTCCAAGTACAGTTGAACCTGCCCTGACGGCCACCTCTATAAGACGGCCACCTGTACAAACGGCCACTTTTCATTTCCCCCCTTGCGTTTTTTTCTATATAATTTAACTGTGTAAAATGAGCACCTGTTCAACGCGGCCGCAGCCATCATATTTTAACACACAACCCCTATCACACCAAGCAATAACATCTGTCTTAGACGGCCACCTTAGTGACTCCATTACGTTTTGTCATAAATTGTGCATTGGCCCCTGGCATTGTGGGCGAGCCGTCATAATCCAATCACTTATCGTTGTTGTTAGGTGGTCCCTCCAACCGATCATGTTGCGTAGGCCCTTCCCACTGTTGACAAATAGGTACAAAGTTTTCAGCTGCTGGTGAGGTAAGCGTGTGATCCCCCACACCCAATAAGCCCCGCCCAGAACTCATACACAAATCGTAAGTGAGATGAGTGGTCACTGTTTACCTGGTCTGTAACAAAGTAACAATATGAACTTGCGACAGAAGCGTCGCTCATTCTCCGAGTGGTGGCGACCCATGTGTTTGTTTAAACACGCCACTCGGTCTTCCTCGTCTGATACAATTCGTTTTATTGTCACCCTTGCGCAAAATCAGCAACAAAATAAAACTTACAAACAAAATACAAACCAACAGCAACAACAAAATCAACGTCAAAGCGGCCACTTTCGATTGGGACCTCAGATTTGAAGGGTTTGTTTTCCTCATCTTGATCAGTCCTGCCTAAAACGGCCACCTGTCTTATATGGTCACTTTTCTCCTTGACAATGGGTGGCCGTCTTACACAGGTTTGACTTCAAGCCTTGGAACTGACCAAACTTTGAAAGCTATTTTCTCCTTTACTTTGTCTCTGACACTAGGCAACCCCCTTTTTCCTTCAATCTCAAAATCTCGACTTCTATTCAAGACTATCGAGTATTTTTTTCCCATTATAAGCACAAATGGACAAGCTTTAAGATGATACCAGTAACTCCATTCGCTCAAAAATTGACGAGTGCCGGATTTGACCATGTCGTGTCACTTATCTGACTTTGCTAGGGTGGTTGGCATTGGAGGGTGCCTTTGGCTGGTCCTACTATCTTCACACCGCAAGTTACATTCATTAGTTGGGGGCTTTTGTTTTTGTGCTAGTCTTACTTAAACTATGTCGGCCATTGCTAGGGTGGTTGGAGGGTGCCACTCCCAGCACTAAACGACCTTTATTGTGTCGATGTGTTTCTCTTTACTTACACAAAACACACAAACAAATGTCCTTCTGGTTGTTGTTATGTCTGTTCTCCCACTCTTTTCTTCCCAGGCCGGTGGGTGGTTAGCGGGTGCTCTGGTGTGGTTTGCTCCTTCTTTCCTGTCAAACATCTCTATCGTCCTGATCTTTCCTCCTTCTTTTTTGTGTTTGTTACTCTCTTGTAGCACCTCTAATCTTTGACACTTATATGACCTTATTGTGTTGTAAGTACCGTAAAACTCTTGTGGGTGGTTGGCGGGTGCTTTGGTGTGGTTTACTTCTTCTTTCCTATCAAACATCTATTGTCCTTATCTCCCCTTCATTTTTATGTATGTTACTCTCTTGTAACACCTCTAATCTTTGTCACTTATATGACCTTATTGTTTTGCAAGTGCCATTTAGGCACTCATATGACCTTTTTGTGTTGCAAGTGCCGTAAAACTGTCACTAACCTGTGTTCCCCTCTGTGCCTGAAGGCGTTTGAGTTCTACGAGGAGCTCATGTCCAGCCGGTACCCGTACAGCTACTACAAGCAGGTGTTTGTGGACCAGGCCTACTGCGAGGTCTCTACCTACTCCACCATGAGTATCCTCAGGTACGTTTGCTTTTAGGGTTTTGGGGGGGGGGGGGTAATTTTCAAAAATTATTTTAAAATTATTTTTTTTAAAATCAGGGTTTGTACAGGTATTGGAAAACTGGAAAACTCTTGGAATGTTGTTTTCATTTTCCAAGACGTGGAAAACTCTTGGAATGTTGTTTTCATTTTCCAAGACGTGGAAAACTCTTGGAATGTTGTTTTCAGTTTTCAAAAGATCGAAAACTCTTGGAATTTTGGGAAATTGGCAAAATTCTTGGAAAAAGCTAATTTTTAACTAGATCCGTTGTTAAAATATTTTCTCACAGTTTAGAAGGCCTCGACGCATTCTGAAGTGCACCATCATGTATTTTTACATGCTGAACGAAATTGTTTTTCCAAAGTGACACGCATTTGTCTTGGAAAAAAGAAATCTGGTCTTGAAACTCTTGGAAAGGTCTTGGGAAAGAAAATGTCCTGCTCAGTATGAACCCTGTAAAGAGTCGGTGGTTTTTAACACTCCCATCTACACAATTTAGATCAGTTAGGAGGCTCATCATGATTTAGATCATTTGTTACTCTCTTGCAACACAACTAATCTTCAGCACTGATATGATGTAATTGTGTTGCAAGTGCAGTAAAACTCTTACTAAAACTAGAAGAAAAAAAATGTTCTACTGTTTTGATCAGGATTTTTACAAATGTGCTATGGACCATATCAAGTGGCATTTTCTTCTGGATTTTTAACAAGACAAATCTCGAGCCCCTCTCTTGGGTTTGGTTTGATCCCCCATGTACCGTTTGTGTACATCTTTAGGTCATTTCCCCCCCCCCTCCCCTGTGGTTTGAAGAACTTGTACCGTACGTGTACATCTTTAGGTCATTCCCCCCCCCCCTCCCCTGTGGTTTGAAGAACTTGTACCGTACGTGTACATCTTTAGGTCATTCCCCCCCCCTGTGGTTTGAACTCATACCGTATGTGTACATCTTGAGGTCATCTTCTTCCCCCCCGCCCTCTTCATACTTTGCCCATCTGTCTTTCTTTTACCAAACACTTAATGACCAGGATTGAGTCTGCCTGCTTCCTTCTAGAGCAA